TCGTTCGAGAATATATTTTCCCTCGCTTTCAGTTTTTAGCTTTACCGGGCTATTTTCGGAAGCACAATTTGCGTTTAACCGCAAAAGAATCGAAGGCAAGTTGTTCCAAAAGACCCTGATCCCCCTACCTCCACCTCTCTCTCCCTTTTTCCCATCAGTGTTTTGTTTGTGAGGTTGTTCGCTTAAATTTTCTACCAACTCGCTCTCTGAATTTGAAATGGTGCACTTTAAAAGAAAAAGATAGTTTGTTAACGCTGGAGCATTCTATGAGCTTTTCGGCTTTCTACCGTGTACTGGAATTCCCCTTTATTTTTGCTGTGGAAAATCGTAAGATTGAATAAAGGAGCGACGGCTTTTACGAAACAAGGTTAGTGAAAGTTCAAGCATACATTATTGATTTTTCTCACACGTGAAAAGCTTCGTATGAGTTCCTAGACCAAAGGCCAACAAAACATTTTCTCAGTTCACATTAGAAAGTATTTAGAATCGTTATTGAATTTGTTTTATATTCTTTCAAAATGTATGAATTAGCGGGTTATATTACTAAGTAAATATATGTGATATTTATAGCTCATTAGCTAGTAGACTAAGAGCTAATAAACAAAACTACTTATTTCAACTATAACAGAGAATCAATTAAAATTGCGTCGCGTTGAAGTTATTTAGCTGCTATGAGTTCGTCTTTTTAGGAATTAGCTCTCGTCGTTTCTTTTGTTTCATTTCTCAGCTCTCTTTGCTCTGTCTGTTTGTCTCTTTTAGAGAATCGCAGCATACATTCCTCACTCAAGTGGCTCAGTCACGTGTCATGGCGCCCGCAGATGCTGCCATCCCATGGGAAAATTATATGTATATGTATACACATATAAGTACATATATATGTGTTGTAATTTCAGGCTCGATATAAGGCATTTTGGTATTAAAAATCTTTTTCCAGGTTGTTGCAGGCGTGGAAAGGATAAAAAGAGGCTGGGTATTTTTAGATGCATATTTATTTTACATAAGTATGAAATAGGCAGCAACATATTAAGTAGGAGAACGTCACACGTTTACTACAAGACGGTTATAAAAATATCCATTGTTTGTCCCAGAGATATCGACCTTTTTACAGTTTTTGTCTACGGGGAACTGTAACTGATTGGTCCGAATACGCGAAAGATACAAGATTGCCTCATCCTGTTTTTAAAACTACCCTTTTGGTTTTTTGGGAGGTAAGGTTATGATTATCCCTCGTTAGGTGGTTATATATATATTAAATTTAATGGATGGTGTGTAAAATATAAAATGTCGTATGTAAGGATTTAAAACTCCTGCTTATAGTTCAACCGAATCCAGTTCGAGCAAACCAAACAGGTTAAATTTAAAAACAAGAAAATATTTGATATTTTTCTCCTTCCTTTTTTTTCTTCCTGCTAAAGTTGCTAACTATATTTGAAACCTTGATTTTGTAAAAGCTAATCAATGATTAATATTCTTGATAATTAGTGATTAATAGATTAGAATATACGTATAAGATTGTTTCCAAAGTATTAGCACAATAAAAAAAATTTAAAGCAATTGTTTGTCAAAAAAAAGAAGGAATTACATATTTTCGACATTACATTCTCCTTTAATGGATTTGAAGGAGAGCGATATAATTATAATTCTCCTTTAAAATGTTTGATAATATTTTGCTTATATATAACAAATACTTTTGTACAGAGCCTGTACAAGTATTTTTGAAATATGTTATTTAAAATTGGATTTATTCATATTTTTACATTTCAGATTAGGGAATTTTCTTATAAAAAAACACCGGTTATAATTTCAATTGATAGTAACTCTAAAAACATCAGGCATTTTTTTAAAACTCCTAATTCAGGCTTTTAGAGGTCTTAATTATAAGATCTGGGCTCGAATCCTAGAAAGGGCGTGACGTATATAAATGTGTAGTGCTTACTGCGACAGGAGGACATTCTAAATATCCTTCGAGCCAAAAGTCCTTTCAAGAGGTTGGTGGTAGGAAAAAAGAGGTGGGACACTCATTGCCTCCCAGTGTGCTCTCTCTTTAAATTCTGGTATGACGGAGCAAAAACGTTTTGTCGCTTGCATGCTGCTCAAAACTGTGGCGACTGACTGACGTATTCTACCATCCTTGCCATGACGGATTTTGTTGACCTCGATCCGACATCGTCGTTTGGGTGACATCAGAAGCAACAACAAAAGATAACAAACAATTAAACAGAAGTATAAAGGTAAATGTTTAATGGTTTATAAACACATGTAAATTGTTTTGGTTTATATTTTCCAAAGAGGAAATTTTTTACCAAATTTATCCGTTAAATTTTATTGTTTTAAACCTTTAATGTAAGATTTAATGTTATACGTTATAAAACATAAATATCTAAATTTAAATTAAATATTGCATCTTTAAAAGAAATTATCCAAGTAGCTTAAAGAAACTTAAATAAAAAATTTTTTAAAAAGGTATAATTTCAAGTGAAAACAACATCAGAATGAGAGATTTGCATTTCGATATTTTTCAAAAATTGCAGAGGAAATTTTTTTGTTTTATACGCGATGAATTGTGTGTGTGTGTGTGTGTGTGTGTTTTTTTTTAAGAAATTAGTTCCGCGCTCAAAGGGTAACACTTTTTATTGTTATATATTTTGAACTTGGAGAAGGCCAGGATATCTATAAACATATGCATTTTTAATAATCAAAAGACGTTTCAAAAATATTTGTCTGAATTTCTTAATAACCTCTCTCTCTATATATATTTTGAACTACTTCTGTTCAATTTAATTTAGAACAAAATCTTGCGCTGAGAACCGGAATGCATTTTTCGAAATTTAATAAATAAAGAATATTGTAAAATATATATCATATATATATATATATATATATAAATTCAAATATATTCGTGTTGATATAGAGTTTTACACATAGAGACATATTTATCGAAATAAAGAGTTTTATACAGACAAATTTATATCTATTTAAGGAGAATAATATAACTAAATACATTTACATATTTGTTTGTTTAAATTTATATCCCACAGCTGAATTTACGTAAAATAATTCTGACATTTCTTTGAAAATAAATGAATTTTTAAGCTTTAGACACTATTATTTAAAAGTGCACTATACATCATGCATATAAAGTGTGTCATTCTTTAAATAGCTTTAAAATTAAAAATATATATTCATATAATTTAGAGCCTTCAAAAATACTATAGATTTATAAAAGATGTATTGCGCATGTAGGGAAAAAATGTAAAGTACTCTTTACTAACGACTTCAATCAGACAAATAAATTTACTCAGATTTATAAAGATACATTTAGAAATGCATCTTTGTAGGATAAGAAAATAGAAATAAAAATACTTTTCTTGTCATTCCAATCATGCTAATAAATTTATTAGAAAACAGACATTTCATCAAACATAAATTAATTTCTAAGATTTGATTTGATACTTCACGCTCTGAAGCAGCGTGAAGGACATAGGAGATGGACCTCGTAATTTTTAACAAGAGTCAAGTGACGAAAACGACACTTGAATCGACACCCCTACCCAAACGTTGGGAGTCGTGGGTAGCCTAGTGGTTGGAGCATCGGACTCAAGACCGGAAGGCCTGGGTTCGATGCCACCGAAAAACCCTCTAAGTACACACGGAGTGCGTGCTTGTCAAATCAGTGGGTCCAAAAGTCTCGTGGGCGGTCGCTGCAGAAACTATGGGTGCAGGGGACTGGAGAATATTTTTCCTTCCCTTCCAGTTCCATGCTTAAATTGTGGAGGTGGAGATAGGTGGTGTCGTCATCTATCGTAAAGAAGTCCAACCTGTCTCAGGCTCAGGAACTTTCATTTTTTTCCCTTCGGGAAGGACATGACAACAATATCCAAACATCGACTCCACACCAACAGGATAACTTTATACCTCTGCGTATTTCATAAGTATTAGTCCCTCTACACCAGTGCTTCTCAAACTTTCAATGTTGGTGACCCAATATTCAATCAGAATATTCATCGTGCCGCCCTTCTATACAATAACGATGTATTGTATTCAATAATACTATACTTTGAAGCACAACAGCTGCAATACAACTTAAGCCTCTCAAGTACTACCAGCGTAAATAAGCGTCTCGCTCAGCTAAAGCGTTAAGTGCCCGAAGGTATATGTACGTCTTTCCGAAGTACGATCCTTTCTGTGCATTGCTATCCATAAAATTATTCCGAAGGCTTTGGAATGCAATAAAAGGACCTAGAAAGTGTTTCTGAAGGATTTTGAATATGTCTTCCTTTTCTCTCCCCCTCTCCCATACATCACATAAGCGCACCTACGTGGAAAACGGTGGCATTGGGGAACGACGATCGTACCTTTTAATCATCAATTAAAGGATTAAACTCTAAACCGTACAAGTTATCAATTTAAGTGTTAATTTTATATATGACAAGCCTATGGGGTCACTGACATTTATTAAACTTGTTCTTAACTTAGTATTATTAAATTATAATTATAAAATACATTTTGCAGTACTGATAATTTTATAAGCGTATGAAATCAGTGTAAATGTGTATTTTTTATTATGTCATAATGTATTTTATTTGCTTAATTTTAGTAAATTAATAATTTTTTTTTAAATAAGCATTTGTTTTCGACTTTTCAATATGCTCGCGCACCCCCTTCGTAAAGTTATCACGCCCCCTCTAGGGGGCCCGCCCCACAGTTTGAGAAACGCTGCTCTACACACATGGCAAATCTTCAGTGTTTCAAGGACTCGCAGTTCTACAAAGCTAGTCTTGAATTCCCGACCATGATTTTTCGTCTACCGCGGCCACAAAAATTTCTAAGATCAAGATATTTGATTACTTCCAGAAAGGAAATGTGCGCATAACAAAGCTCACTATTTAAATAACACTAATAATAAAGAAGAATTATTCTGCGTAAAATTTATGAAAAAATATATGGATATAGATATACATTTTATAAATAGAAGCTAAATTTACGTAGATGTGTCACATGCTGTAAACACGGGTTCTCGTCCGATCACCGAAGTTAAGCACCATCGGACACTACCAGTACTTAGAAGATTGACCGCCTGAGAACTCCATGTACAGTAGGTATTCTCTTACAGTCACCCAGTTGGTGTAGCATTAAATGAGGCAGATTGATGTGTCTTCGAGCCTGGGTTTCAACCCCGAAGAAGGCATGCATGTTTGTAAATGTATAGTGTCTGTGTGGCGGAGGGGGCGAAAATCCTCACAAGAAGTCGGTGGAAGGGAGAGAGAGATGGGAGGCGTTATGAGGGGTTTATCCTTCAAAATTGGGTGGAGCGAAGTCAGAAAACACTGGAAAACTTTACTTTTAAAGCTGAGATTGAGCACCTTGATATGATAAATTCCATTGTCCTCGATCTGACGCACGTTCATTGTGTAGCATTAGAAACAACAAGACGTAGATTGGATTTTTTTGTAGACTCTCTTTGTACATATTGCTCTTTTAAAGTGTATCTTGATAGTGATATATCTTTACATCGACGGATTTAGAAACGAAGTATTCCGTGATGGTATACGTAGGATTGATTTGGTGGTTATTTAAATTCAAGCTGGATGCTCTCTGTTCACTTTAATTTAACGTCTCTTAAATTAAATACCTCTACATAATTTATACAAAAATATGAAATATAATGCTTTCGATTTTTACTCGTAAATGTTTTCTATAAATCCACATCAAGAAATGAATACAAATTTGCTGGAAGAAGTGAAAATTACAGAATAGAAAAAGAAATTTTTTTGACGAGTCAATTGTTTTATCTATTTTTACATCCTATGACTTTGCCTTATTATCAGTATTGTTCTTTATATTATAAATTATATATAGCTCAGTTGCTTGTACATGAAATAATAGCTCAAAAAATTCAAAACTTTTATATAAAAAAATACAAATTACGTTATTCATTTAAATTACTTAAAAATTATCTTGATTGCCGTGGATTTATCAAAGTGTGAGTAAACGAGAAAGACATTGTACCTCTAAAGTTGCAACCCAATATTCATCCTGCTCTAAAATTACCGAGAAAATCCCTTTATTCATCCAAGAACCCAATCCATTTAAAGGGTGATATTAAATCAACCTCTAATGTCCTTTAGTGTCCCCGGGTAGCAGCGAAACTATTTCCAATTATCTTCTGAGGAAGGATCTACCTCCAACTTTCCAGCATAACATCCTCCGTCGTTGAAATGCAAACAACCCAGCAGACTTGGGAACGGCCTTTTGGCAAATAGCCTCTAGATGGGACCGATTCCCGTCGCAGACCGGGGCTCGGTTATTATACGTCCATTAGAACTAATGACCTCTAGGGGCCCGAGCATTACCTACGCCAACTATTCGCCAGCCTCATTACTTAATCAGTGTTTCATTACAAGAAGTGGCGGAAGCACCAAAGATGGCGGATTCTGAGTTCGCCAAGTGGCTTTATATGTCCAAATTGGAATGACACGGTGAGAGAGTGAGTGGGCATAATTAAGAAAAGATTGCTATCACCTCATCATTGCAAAGTATCCTCTCCATCGTCTAATTTTCTTTTTCTTTTTTATCTCTTACTTTTAATTTCACTACAGTATTTGATTAATTGCTGAAGTATCGATTGGTGTTGGAGAAGAACGTGTTGCATGGACACGTGTTGATTCTATGACGCGTTGCTTTGACCTTGTTTCAAGTGTCAGTGTTTAGCACTTAGAAGTTTAGAGACATGCTAAATATTTTTATTTCCTTGGTGAGTTCGAAAAGTTCTTTTCAGGGTATTTGTATCCTGAGTAAAATTCTGTACACATCTTGGATATATCACGGTTATATGAAAAAAAAATTATTATTTATCGGTACCTACTTATGCGAAAAAGATGTTCCATGGTATGGAGATTAGAATAAAAATTATTTGAAAAAAAATTTCAAAATTTAATATTGCCGCAAAAGGGTAAAATTTTCGAAAAAATTGGGAAAAAAAACTTAATTTTAGTTAGATGATTTTAGGCTCAGAATAAAATTATTTTTCTACTATGAAGTAAAAGTTATGATTTTATTAATAAAAAAAACTTACTACTGTGAATAGTACAATGTACTTAGCAATATTTCATAACCCCAGCTCTTTCTCCCCGCCCCGTCGAATCAGTCACACACACACACACACACAGATCCAAGTTATTTTCCGTCTTTCACTTCATCGTGCACTGTAATTTCTGCAGCATGTTTTTTTTTCTTATTTAATAGCAAAAGAGATGTTAAATGTATCTGATATGTTTTCTGGTAATTGTTTAGTAAATGTCCTCTCATCGCAGTAAGTTAAAAATGTACTAAAATTCTTGCTTACTTTGATTTTTACCGTAAAACATCTCAAATACCTAAACTTAATTCCCCTTGTATCAGAACTGAATGTAAATGTTTTTTAAATTAATTTTTCCCTTCATAGGTATGACAGAGAACATCTTTTCCACATAAATTAAGGTATCCGACTACTTGCGACAACTTTTCTTTTTAAAAAATTTGACACAAAATTATATAAACGGGGCCTACTCTGTACAAATAATAAATTAACAAATTCTCTGTTTTCCTATTTTAATGTATTACTTTGCTATTCCTTTTTGAAATAACCTTAAGGATAAAAGATATTTTAACTTTTACAAAAACTAGAGCACTTTATTTTAGTTATTATATGAAATTGCTTACAAAAACAGTGATTATATTGACATAAAGAACTATAAGTTTTCTAATTATGCAATGATTAATAAATCTGAAGATTAAAACAATTCTACTGTTATATAAAACATATACACAAAATTTCAGCAAATTATTTTAAAAACTTTTTGAGCAATCGCTGTCTCCGTTTGAGCTTTTCGAAAAAAACATATTTCGAGTAAAACACATTTTAAAGTTTGACATCTATGTAAAGTAATAGTATCTGCTTTTACTAAAACACTTGTAGTTTTTGTCCTAATAAATGAAAAATAAACACTTAATATTTTTATAAGGCTAATAAGATGGCCTATAAAATAAAATCATGAAACAAAATTGTCTATTTTTCAAAAAACATCATGATTTTAAGGTAATCGGATACCTTAAGAAAAATCATTTTTCATTCGACCCAATTGTAAATGCATAAGGCTTCTGAAGTTTAAATACAATTGGATAAACATTGATTTCCGTATTTGTTGAATTAGTAGAAAGGTATATATAAGTCACTGCTATCAGTAAAATATTAAATACTGATGCGTGTGAGGGTTAAAGCTGAGAAAATCTCTTTTTCGTTGATGTTGAAGGGAAATATTTTCTTGCGTTAAATTAACTTTAATCGAAGTCACTAATGTAATCATGACTTCCATTGAGCAGTGACAAAAGTTTATGCAAAATACGGGATGTTCTGATAATGAATGAATATTTTATACAATGATTATATTATTCTAGTTTTAACATTGAAAGTAGCTCCATTAAAGCAAACTAATATAATCAGATTTCCACTCGGCTCCGATGGCTTAGAAGTAGCGTACCCACTTCGCAAACCTAAGGTTGCGGATTCCATCATAGCTGGAGTCGATAGATTTCCTGGATACGAAAATCGTAGGCACGCATGTCATATGATTATGTGGCATGCAAAAGATTCCTTGAGTATAAAATTGGCTCTGGTACTCTCGGCAAAATTAAAACATGGCAGTATTAGTTATCTGATAAGAGCTTGAATTAAAAAATCAATTCAAGCGTCCAATTCAAGAGTCTGTCACTAAATGGTACCACCATGAAATGGCTCTCACGTTTGGGGACTTGCCGTGTTTTCAAAGGCTTATTTGCTAAAATAAATGTCATCTCATTAGAAAAAAATATTTCTACACAGTTTCATTAATTTAGAAAGATAAAACGTATTTTTAACATGATTTTTCAAATTTTAAAAAGAATTATTTGACTTTTACTTTTGTTGTCGACAAAGAATTTTATGTAAAATAATATTTAATTCTATAATGCTAGAAAAGCTGCTATCGAATATTTTATTGTGTATAATGTTAACTTGTATTTAGAGGTGTAACTTTGAATTATATGATTAAGTATATATATTTTTATTTTCTTGGAACTTAACTAATAGAATATAAAATTTGAGAATGTAAATTCTAAATGAGGTAATTAAAACATGGTTTATGAACTGCTAAACTTACGACTCGGCAATAGTTGTCATGAGTTCGAGACCATGACCCCTTGCTTTTTATGGTCTCTAGATGGAAGGGAAGGATGGCTGTAAAAAAATAAAACTTATTTAACAATAATATTTTCTTCTCTTAAACGACGCTCTTTATGTGATTACTATTACCAATGTAGATTTCATTATTTTGACCGGCAGTTATATAATAAAAAAATAAAATATCACTTTCGGCAATTACTAATTTTTTTTACTGTTGTAATTAATTTGCCTTATTTTACAGAATTAATTGAAGTATCGTATCTCTCACATGTGAAAGAGAAACATATATTTTTTTAATTTAAATTGAACAAAATTTTGATATTAAAATATGAAATGATATCATTATTTACCTGAAAATATTTTAATTTTAATCAAGTTTATTCTTCTGAACGTAATAAAAGAAAAATACCGAAGGCTTTCTTTTGCAAGATGTTTAAATGTTTTTACAAATGAGACAAAACTTTAAGTGACATTATTTGTATTTATAGAATATTATTAATTTTTAAATTACGTTAGCAAATTAAATATTTACATAGTTAATAAAATGACAAAATCAATTAATAACGTAATACATCAAATAGAAGTATAATCTTCATTAGAATTGATCTGATAATCATTCAAATAAAAATTATATTTAGAAAAATCATTAGCTCGTTCCATAATTTTTTTTTTAAAATTGGTATAGAAAAAGTATTTACTATCCAGTAATGAATAATTATGATAACTCGATTTTTCATTTAACAATAATAGCGAATAATCATGATTCAAATATATTTTTAAAAATATTTTAAAACCTAAATATATATATTATTAAAAATAATATCAAACAACAACAAGTATTTATTTTCAAAAGAAAAAATCGTCTGGAAAATTCGAATTACTATGTTTAGATGTTGAT